GGCAAACCTGCCGAAACTACGACCGAAACCGAAACTGCGTTCGGGAGTTCTCGCGCTCTGCTCGGTCATGTTCGGCGCGTTAAATTCCATCCAAGCGAAGTAGATTAGTAGACATAGACATAAAAAAGCATGAATAATCTTCAAAAGAAAAATGAGCCTAGTCTACTATACTTACTCAAATAAACATCTCACCTATTTTAAGTATTTTTAAGGCGCAATTAATGTATTTTCTTAAATGAGGGGTTGTTATGTTGATTTTGATTTGATAATCAATAAGTGAAAATGTCAAAGACTGCAGAGCTATGTGGTTTAAAGATAAAAAAATAAAACTGACTGATTATAATAACGTTTTCTTTATTTTTCTCTCAAAACATGATCCTTATAAGGAAGTTTCGGTTTCGGTTTCGGTTTCGGCCGAAACTGAGACCGTTGCCGAAATTCGGTTTCGTTTTCGGTCGGACACTAAAAATTAGTTTTATGCGGTCGATTTCACGCTTTAACTACTCAATCGATCATCATGAAATTTTGGTGGACATATTGTTAACCATGCAGAAAAGGACACACACTACCTTTTAAGCAGAAAAAAATACTGTTCCCAAGGGATAGAAAAATTAGTTTTATATGGTCGTCAATGGTCTTTGACACGTATTTAAGACATCAACAGGCGGGTAAAATTTAGTTAGTTATAATTTTGGGTATAAAATGACGCGATTTTACATTTTCTTTTTTGGATTTCTCAGAGCATTAAATAGTTTAACTTTATTGGCCTATTCTGCAGGTATGTACTTTAGTTCAAGTTATGATCGAATCATCAAATTCTTTCTAGATTCTATCAATTACCCTTTTCAATTTTTGACAATTACCTACAACAAGAATTGTGTCAGAGAAAAATGTAACTTTTGTTAATCTTACTGGTCCAGAAACATATAAAGGATTCTAATAACAAGAAAAGAAAATTGAATGGTTGGCAGCATCTGCCTAAAGAGTAGGAACGGCGAACGATTCCGCTTTAAACTTTTCGCATTTTTAGTTTCTTTAGAAACAGACAACTCGTGCACGACCACTACCCACAGGATGGTAAAAATGGTAAAAATTGAAGCAAACAGTGAATGTGTTCCTTCCATTAAAATTTCAAGACAGGCGATTGTGCGGTTAAATTAGTTTGGTCTCGTTCCTGAGACGACGACATATATTCTTGAATAGCGCGCCCTTATAATCGAGAGAGCGAGAGGGTGGCCGTGCGGCGAGGTCGATAAGGAGGCCTGATCGATGCGCGCATGTTTATACCTGTTGCCAATCGTGGTCCAGAAGAAGGATGCTGACCTATTACCACACATATATTTAGACTATATGTAATATTGCAATTAGGGAGTAATTTAGTGACGTTCGGGGGTGGTGTCGATGAATTAGGTAAACGGCGTCGTGGATTTTAACGGGACCTAGAGGTGATTTTCATGTGACATGACGGCCCTTGATTAAGTTATAACGAAAACCGAATTTCACACTCCGTCTAAGGTAATTTTATGTGTTAAGATGTTTCGTCGATACGATATGACACATTTTCTACATATTGTTTTTTTTTTTTTCAACTCTACGCTGGAAATGTTACCGGCATTTTTGACATAACAAAAACAAACAGAGCATCTGTTGATTTTCAAAATTATAACCGCTTCGATTTTCATAATTTCATNTGCTGTTATTGGTACCATTTACTACTGAAAATATCAACGAGATGTTTATTTATATTTGAAGACATATTAAAGGCTTTAACGCTCGTTTTCGACTCGCACTACTATTCATGATTGTACAAAACTTTTGGCAGGTACTGTATGAAAAAGCATGTTTAATGAACAAAAGTCGAGAGTGTAATGAGCTTTTTTCTCCTTACCTACGATTTTGCCAGCGCGCATCCAAGACATTGGAAGGGGAAAATCGCTAGAGAAAGTAAATGAAGTATATATCAAGTTTTGATTAACGATAACTTATTTTAATATGATTTTGTAACCTTGCGCACACTAAGGAAAGGGTGGAGGTACATGTCTAACCAGTTTTAGGGCTGACGGCCCTATGATGATGATGATAGTGATGATGAGACTTCTTAGAAAAATTTGAATTGAATCAGAAGCAAGAACTTAGTGAGTAATATCTTTATCTGAAAACTTGGACATATGCCGGTGTTTGGAAATGAAACTGTCAATATTGGAAGTAAATATTTAGAAAACAGAACAATTCGTTATCTTTAAAAGCTTTCGTTAAACGAAAAGTAGTTTTCGTACCATTATCTATGTTTTCTTCCTCTTGCTGAATTGCAAAATGTTTGTGGATACTTAATTTTTGTTTTTCTTTTTTTCGATTTCTAAATGAGTGAAGATTATAGTGCAAAATAAACGAACGAGTAAATAATGGGACATATGGTGACATCAACACTAAAATTTGCATATTTTTGTCGTTAATCCTTGAATAAATAACACGCATTATATTATCTATACATACATGTATTTATTATTTGAATTTGTTCTCATTATTCCATTTAGACTGGTAGGTATCTACATATTAAATATTTTATTATCATTTGGAAAGAATTATTTGCAAAATAAAGGACATCAGGGTTAAAAACCGGACTTATAATATAATTGCTATTTCGATCCAATCTACAAACGTGAATTCGGCAAAACCAAACGTTCAATAAAACGAAAAAATGATAGCCATTAGTCGACTGTTGTCTAATACAAACATCAATTTATATACCATCGTCGATTAGTCGGTATCGACTAGTAAAGCCGTACATAATACATCGATACAAACGAATGATTGATAACAGGTCGGTTGAAAAAATTATACACGATGTATATTGAAAAATCGTTACGGACACTGCACTATTTCAATATCAAAACAATTCAAAACAAGATAAATGACATTAATTTTAACTGAATCGTCGAAATTTGGATAGTTCGTCATTAACATGGTTCAAAAAAAGGAGAACGTTGAATAAATCTATGTGACATTGTTATTTGAAACAAAAGTTAATGATCTAAAATTCAGTAGTCATGCTTATGATGTCCTTTCTATTTAATGTCACCTAAAAGATGAAATTGAGAGAATCCTATTTTGAGTCCAACTTCGATTGATTGAAATTTTAATGAAATTTACACATAATCAAATGTACATAATTTTTTATGTTGTCACAAAAATATCGGGGGTTGTCTTTAAAATTATCTTGCGGAAAATGAGAAAGTACGAAACGGGTAGAAGTAAGAGAGGAGGCTTTTTAGAAAAACCAGATGTGGAAACTTTCTATTTTTAAAAAAAGAAACATGTTTTGCAATTTCATAAACTTTTGCACAGAAATGTCGAACATACATGCATACAAATGCTGATTTAAACATGAAATATCTATATACCTATATTTTAATCATGATAGTTCCCCAAGTTGAAATGACCAATAGTTAAATATAGTTTACCAGGACTAGGGTTGCGGTACAATCGACGAAAGGTTTACACCAGAGGTATACTTCGTTTACTTTCTGTAGCGATCTGACCTTTAGTTTGACCGGCGCAAAGTAGAAAAGGACAGCACTAGGCCAGAAAAAGTTAGGAGACAACTCTCAGCCAAATTCTTAATCGGTGAGGAATGTATAATCCGTACAGTAATGCACGGAAAAATTGACCATTTAATCCAATACAATTGCATTGCTCTAATGTGCTGTTATTGGTACCATTTACTACTGAAAATATCAACGAGATGTTTATTTATATTTGAAGACATATTAAAGGCTTTAACGCTTATTTTCAACTCGCACTACTATTCATGACTGAACAAAACTTTTCGCAGGTACTGTATGAAAAAGTATGTTTAATGAACAAGAGTCGAGAGTATAATGAGCTTTTTTCTCCTTACCTACGATTTTGCCAGCGCGCATCCAAGACATTGGAAGGGGCACATCGCTAGAGAACGTAAACGAAGTATAAGTACTGCATAGAAAGGTTTAGGTTAGACAACAGTACCATCCCTTCAATAGTGTAAATATATTCTATGGAATAATTTCAAAAATCGAATTTTTTCTTTCTCAAAACTGGGAAGTTTCCACACCTGCCCCATTCAGGGGGTTTTTCAATCTTCTTCCCTCTATCAGGCCGCAGGATATTATAGCAACCAACTACATTTCTATCTATCACGAATTTTCTACTACTTTTCAACTTCTACAACTAACATAATCCACTGCAAAAAGCTGCAGTACATGTTTTCGCACTTTACGCTTGTATGCTAATAATGACGAATGGTATATAGTTTGAGTAACGGTGGAGGAAAATTATTACTTACAAAAACTTTCGTAATAACGTTAGGCGACTTTTTATTTAGATAAATTTTCATTCAAACTAAAACTGAAATATAAAGTTCGAAACGTCACATCAATTTATTTCTTTTTTATTTCTATTGCGCTCATCAGTATAAAACAACTTCTCTCCAGGTAATACGATTGGGGAAGTACCAAGGTACCACATACCTATGTAGGTGTATCGAGAATTTATAGTAATGAACATTCTTTTTTGAATTTTTTTTTACGCTATACGGTTAGTTATGAACACCTTGAAGTACGGCTCCGTACGAGTAGGAAACGAAGAGAGAAGTTTAGAAACATTTGATATACGAATGATAAGAATACTAGGAATATAGAAGGTTAGAAATGAGGAGGAATTAGAAAGAGTAGGAGAACAGAGGGGCCTATGGAAATCAATATCAAATAGGCGAGATAGGTTGGTAGGACACCTTTTCACGCATGAAGGGCTAATTAGATACATAGTAGAAGCAGAAACAGGAGTTAAAAGAGGTAGTGGTAGATCTAGATTAGATTACTGTTCACAAATAGTTAAGGATGTGAGAGTTTAAAAGGAATGCGAAGAATAGCTATCGTAAAGAAAGAGTGGAGGTGCATGTCCTATCAGACTTAGAGCTGACGACCCTATGATGATGATGATGATGGTGATGATGAGACTTATATTCTTAACTTTCTTAGAAAAATTTGAATTGAATCAGAAGCAAGAACTCAATTCGTTATCTTTAAAAGCTTTCGTTAAACGAAAAGTAGTTTTCGTACTATTATCTATGTTTTCTTCCTCTTGCTGAATGCAATGTAAAATGTTTGTGGATACTTAATTTTTGTTTTTCTTTTTTTCGATTTCTAAATGAGTGAAGAGGGATGGTAATATGACTGACTAACACACAACGTACTAGAGTCTAAACTTCTGGATCTAGAGATTTGAAATTTGGCGATATTCCATGAGCTTTCTAGCGGTGCACTAAGAGAAGGTTTTCAAATTCGACTCCTACAGGGGTTAAAATGGATATTAATGTGATTAACAGAGACAGCACACAGTCTAAACTGAATGATCAAGTTATATTAGAAATTTGGGGGAAATACTCCTTTAGTAGTTTGAGGATGCATGAAGGAGGGATTTATTTTTAAATTCGATCCCTAAAACGATGAAAAAAGGTGGCAATAAGACTGACTCTCAAACAACGCACAGCTTAAATCGGTGGACCTCGATTTGTTGAAACTTAGAGAGAAACTCATTCAGCATTCTAGGGGTGCACTAAAGGGGGTGTTTCTTAATTCGATCCCTAAAAGGGTGTTAATGTGACTGCCTGAGAGACAATACACAACCTAGGGGGGGATGTTTGTTAATTTGATCCCTAAAAGGGTGTTAATGTGACTGCCTGCGAGACAATACACAACCTAGGGGGGGATGTTTGTTAATTTGATCCCTAAAAGGGTGTTAATTTGACTGCCTGCGAGACAATACACAACCTAAGGAAGGTGTTTGTTAATTTGATCCCTAAAAGGGTGTTAATGTGACTGCCTGCGAGACAATACACAACCTAAGGGGGGTGTTTATTAATTTGATCCCTAAAAGGGTGTTAATGTGACTGCCTGCGAGACAATACACAACCTAGGGGGGGTGTTTGTTAATTTGATCCCTAAAAGGGTGTTAATGTGACTACCTGCGAGACAATACACAACCTAGGGGGGGTGTTTGTTAATTTGATCCCTAAAAGGGTGTTAATGTGACTGCCTGAGAGACAATACACAACCTAGGGGGGGTGTTTGTTAATTTGATCCCTAAAAGGGTGTTAATGTGACTGCCTGCGAGACAATACACAACCTAGGGGGGGTGTTTGTTAATTTGATCCCTAAAAGGGTGTTAATGTGACT